AGAGTGTCTTCTTTCTCCTTTTTCTGCCCTTTCCCCCAGCTCTCGTTTGCATCCATGTGTTACACTTTGTTCATGTGTTTTCCAAATGATCAACTGCTTTGGAGTTCTAATATGTACCTTTCTTTTAATTTTAGGTTCTGTCTTCATTTTGCTGACTCAAACCACAAATTCCAAGGAAAGGAGGGGGAAGTGGAATAAAATAATCAAGTGCCAGAGGAAAAACCAGACTAGCCAATGAAAATTATCGTTACTAAACTGTAGGCTGCTCTCACTTACACATAGTGGGGAGAAGAAAAATTGCTGTCGGTTAAAGCATATAAAATGACTTTTGCAGACTTTCCTCACTGAATTTCAAATAGGCTAAAACCCTTCAACTAGGGTTGTAATAGGAAATGGAAATATGACTCCTTGCTGGTGTCTTCCATCTTCCTCCCCCTCTGCAAGGTTTTTTGTTTGGGGTAGGAAATCTTGAACAAATTGTATGGCGTCAACCAAATTTACAGTTGATGGTTATGGATGACCTAAGAACTTCAGATTTAGGTCTCTGTGATGACACCTGACTAGGGAGAAGGCTGAAAACTGCGTATCAGCTACTTCATGAAACTTGTGGGAACTGTTACAGTCATGTCTTCTTTCTCTTTCTAAGATTTGAACTCTGGGGTGATGTTCCCTGGAAGGCACGAGCAGATAAGTCATCTTTTTGGATTGGAAACGGAAATTATATGAGAATGCCCAGAAGAGGTTTAGTAATTCAAGCCAGGACTCGTTGGCTATTAGTGGGCCTTGCTTTACTATTCAGTTTAGTCTTGCTCATGTATTTGCTTGAGTGTGCTCCACAAACAGATAGTAATGGATCTCTACCTGGTGTCGTAGGCGAAAACATGGGTAAAGAATACTATCAAGCTCTCTTGCAGGAACAAGAAGAGCATTATCAAAACCGAGCTACCAGTCTGAAACGTCAGATTGCCCAGTTAAAGCAAGAGCTTCAGGAAATGAGTGATAAATTGAAATCCCTACAAGAAAAAAAGAGCCCCAAAGTCAATGGTATGAACTACCAGGGCACCAAGGAACAAACATCCAATGATCTCCTAGAGTTTCTTCATTCCCAGATTGACAAAGCTGAGGTGAGCATGGGGGCCAAACTGCCTAGTGAATATGGCGTCATTCCTTTTGAAAGCTTCACATCCATGAAGGTATTCCAGTTGGAGATGGGGCTCACTCGGCACCCAGAAGAGAAACCTGTTAGAAAGGATAAACGAGATGAATTGATGGAAGTTATTGAGGCTGGCCTAGAAGTAATCAATAATCCAGATGAAGAAGATGGACAAGATGAAGATGATGGGGTAGGAGAGAGGCAGCTGTATAGTGAAAACGATTTCATAGAAGGTATGTTTATGACATGCTTTCCAGCCGGTTAACATAATGTCACAAGTGATGTTTAATGGTGTTTGTGTTTTTAAGGGTTTTACCTACTTGAATATAATCTTGAACAGTAATTACACAGTAAGAACCTTTATTTCTAATCATGAGAATATTACTGCTTCATTGTGTTTTTGTTTTTCATTGAGAGCAAGAAATTCATTTCAGAAGAAGGGCTCACCACAAGAAGTGTACAGGGGAAGTTGTAACCACTGAAAATACGGAAGCTTTCATAATTGATTTTAGCTAAAGTCAGTGTGATACAACTGCTTATGATACTAAATAACTGAAAGACTTTCAGCGAAACTGGTGGCAGTGGGAGGGAGAAATTGATTCACTTCTCTCATTGCAGCATGGTTAAGCTATTCAGCATGAAGCTGCAGGGTTGTGTTTGGGTTTGGGTTTTTTTTCCCCACTCATCTTTATGCCACTTCTAGTTACTGTTCAGGGCTTTGACTCTCGTAGAGCTGGTATACTCATTGGAGGGAGAGTATTCATAGGCTAATGTGTTGTGGTCATGCCAGCTGAAGAACTTGGTGTCCTGAACAGACCTGTCATGCTGTGCTAGTTATGGGGTGTGCTGAGCTGTGCAACCTTGAACTGTTCTCTTGCTTTCTATTCAGTTCTCTTTCAGTGCTTGTAAATTTAATTACAGGACACAGTATTACAGGAACCAAAATAGCTGTTATGTTTTCAACGTTTAGTGATACCCTTAAAAGATGTATAAGTGATAATTACTAGAGAAGCTGCCTTTCAAGGTACAGTGTAATGCTGATGGAGATAAGTATTTTCAAAAACTGCCCTAGTACCCTTTTTTTGTATTTACAGTATTAAACACAGTTCATACAGCCCTAAAAACCCCAGAAGGGGGAGCATGTTTTAAGAGCATTACTGTAAAAGGGATTCTGCATCTCAGCAGTACTGATGTCGGCACTATTAAGCAAACATGCTGAAGAAAGGTACCGTTGGCCTTGAAATAATCAGTTCTTTCAGTCTAAGATGATGTAATCGGTCTGTAACACAAAAAGTCTCTGCCTTTAACAGCTACTGTGTTGAAAGTTTAATGCAAGGACTCTTACTCGTTCCAGAAGATGGTACAGGGTATACATTCCACTCAGCTGTCTCAGTATTACACAGCCAGTGCAGTGTTAGGCTCTGAGCAGAGTTTTCACTTAAAACCATATTATTTTGTCTGAGAGCAGTCATTCTCCCAGTCTTTTGTTTTCCTTGTATTAGGTGTCCAGCTGCTTTTCCTTTACCGTTTTAGATACTGCTTATACTCTACTGGATTTTTTTTTTTCCCCCCCCACAAGTACTGAAATAGCTGTGCTTTTTTCTTGGTGTACTGCCTTCAATGACTGCAGACCTCCAAGAAAGCAAGACGTAGGACTTTGGAACTGTATTTACACTTCTGCCTCTGTTCACACCCGTATATTGGTAACTGGTTTTGGAAGTTGAACTAGTTTGCTTTTGTTGTGAAGACAGTTTCTTCAAGCATAGGTTACAGGAACTGTAGAAAAAATACACAGCACTTAAAGTATTTTTATGCTGTCGCTCATATGGGTGTGTTAGCAACTAGCCATAGTGATAGATATCAGTGTCTTGTTTCAGACAGAAGTTGTGGGTTGTGTGGGTATTCTGTGTTTATGTGAGAATGCTACTGGCTAATTTAGACACTGGGCCAGCGAAAATAGCTGCTTCTGAATATTAACACCTTAGGGTTTTGTTTTTTTCTTCTGTTGTTCCAAAATGTAGAGGTAAGAAATGGAACCAGCCAGTTGTGGTACCTGCAGGTCCTGTGACTGGGTTCTAGTGTGCTACCTGAGTTGTCCATTTGTGCATCCTTGCTTTATGGAAGGGCAGTTGGGAAGTAGATGTCTTTCCACTTAGAAAATACTGCTCCTCTAAACTGTCATAAATGGGTGGGTTCAAGTTCTGTAGCAGACTTGGTGTATCTACCGAAGTCACAACAGTTCCTGTGAATGTCCTAAGAGCGCAGCTAAATGGTTGCTGGATTAGCAGTGCTCATTTAGAGAAACAGTTTGTTAAAGTTGTCTTGACTTAAATTGTTTGTTGTTTAAGTTCTGTATTCTCTTCAGTTGCTAAAGATTATATTGAAGTGAGTGATTCAGGGCTAAGATCAGTTTTATGCAATATAAAACAAAAGGATGAGAAAATTGGGTGCACGGATTACTTGAGGGGGAGGAGTGTGCAAAAGAGAAAACTGATAC